GAGAGAGAGAGAGAGAGAGAGAGAGAGAGAGAGAGAGAGAGAGAGAGAGAGAGAGAGAGAGAGAGAGAGAGGCATGCACAGACAGCTGACTGCCAAGCCAATCTAACTTATTTCAGTGATTCCGTCGTTCAATTTGACTGACCTCCCATGTTCGCCAGGCCTGATGCACATCATAACCTCTTTATCTGCAAGCACCGCGCTCACAGGAATGACTCCAGCTCCCAATGCCTTTCCTAAGATCTGTTGGTGCCAGAAAACAGGGCATCCAAAAATACGAACGCCCTTGCTTAGCGTGAATATCTGTAGCATACCAAGAAATGGCAGGTCCACATAGCTCACCACACCAATGGCATACAAGTTTCCAATCACCACACATGATACCCCCGAGCTCAGATCTTTCCGCACACATACCACCTTTCTCTTCCTTATACCTCCAAGCGACCAGCTACTAAATGGTCGTTAGACCATATGGAGCTGTTAGACTACCTACCACCTACCTCAGCAGCATCCCATATATTCTGAGAGAAACCCAAACAAACCCTCACACCACGTAGAGGCAAAACAACAGGCTTTTCTTCCCTTCAACAACTTGGTCTAGACTTCAAGATCGAACCGATGCATGGCTATTGACACACCTGTGCACCGGACGCAGCGGGACAGCGAAAAATCCAGTCTATCCTGACACCATCCAGACATGGGCATCTGATCGACGCAAGGGGCATATCATCCCCCCCCCCCACAGTCCAATGAACACATCTGTAATATCACACGGCAGATGAACTGGTTGCATATTCCCATCCTTTGTGTGTCCTTTTTTTTTTTCCTAATGGTCCTCCAGGGTAGTTTTGCAGCCGACAGCTGATGCCAACGGCCAACCATTCTGCAGTCTACCAGGAGGGCTAACAGGTAGGTGGTCTGCTGACTGGTCACAAGATGGGCTGTACTGCGCTTGCTGAGTGCAGCCCAAATCCGCTGAGGAACTTCTAGGCAGGGGGGAGGGGGGGGGGGGGGGGGGGGGGGGGGGGGGGGGGGGGGGGGGGGGGGGGGGGGGGGGGGCAAAATATTCGGGAGTTAAGGTGGTCGCACTTTCTTTTCTTTTTGCGGGGGTGCCTACCAACAGCCGACTGGTAGTTAGCAACGGGTAGTTCGGTCGGCTGGTAGGCCACCTACCAATCAGGGGCCGCACCGACCTTTGGTGTCTTCTACTCTGAGGTCCTCTGTTTTTTTATGTTTTTTTTTTCCCCCAATCCTTTTTATCAGGTGCTGATAAACGGGTAGAGCGTATTTATTGTTTACTCACTCAGCCCTTCCCTCCGTTATGGCAGAGGGACCCTGAGACAGCACATGAGAATAGGCGCGGGGGGGGGAGGAGGAGGGGGGAAGGGATGCCGAATGCCGCCCATGCCCGTCCTCATACGCAGAGCATTGCCATCCTCCAAACTCTGAACACGAGTTCAAAACCAATCGAACTCTCAGGAAACGAGATCAATTGAGAACCAATCATGGAGCTTGAATGAATGTTAGAAGACAAGCAGAAGATTTAAATGAGCTCTATATCTGACGCACAATAGGGCGATAAAAAACTTAAGACGCACAATAGGGCGATAAAAAACTTAAGACGTACAATAGGGCGATAAAAAACTTAAGACGCACAATAGGGCGATAAAAACGTAAGACGCACAATAGGGCGATAAAAAACGTAAGACGCACAATAGGGCGATAAAAAATGTAAGACGCACAATAGGGCGATAAAAAACGTAAGACGCACAATAGGGCGATAAAAAACGTAAGACGCACAATAGGGCGATAAAAAACTTAAGTCGCATGGGCGATAAAAAACTTACCACAACATCTGGGCGAACATCCTCCCAATCGCATGCAAGCATCTTCCCTGTCCTTCCCATGCCCGTCTGAATTTCGTCTGCCATCATCAGCACATTGTGTTCTGTGCAGAGCCTTCTCACATCCTTCAAATAGCCATCCACCGGCACAACCACCTGACAAGACAAAACAAGAATGGAGCCTGTTAACTTATTATGACAGCTAGCCTACCACTCAGCTATTCCGGGGGGGGAGAGGGGGGG